ATACCTCTCCATTATTGGACACAGAGAACCATATCCGCTATAGCAAGATAAATCGGTCAAGTCAAGGGTACGGATGCAGATCAAGTTTGAGCTAGGATCGAGATAAATGGCCTTCAGCCACTGGATATGAGCAGAGAAATTCAACTTCCCTCCGGTGAAGTCCTCCCGGTGGAGATTGAATACGAGAAACTGGAAAAGCATTGTTTTTCATGCTTCTCCCGACTCATGACGAGGTCACTTGCCCTGTGCTAGCTCCTGCCAACCATAGATCCGAGAAACCACTCGGTATTAATCAACAAAGAATCCTTTACCGACTTGAGGCCGATAAGAAGAGGCATGATGAAAGGAAATCGTCAAGGAATGTTGCTCCAAGACTCTCACACATTCAAGCATCTCTCTCAAGCCAGGACCTCAGACTCTCTTTGAATGATAAGCGAGCCCCAACTCCAAAACGTCTTGATAAAGGAGTGTGGATTCCCCGCACCCGACGGATTTATCCACCTCAAAGGAACCATGAAGACCATCCTTACCACCCATCTCCAAGCCTAGGACGCTCATCTTCTCATCAAAAACAGAGGATGACTCAAGCTCAACAGGAAGGATCCCCTTCAGTCAATCATTGGAGCCCAGCCACTTGGGAGAATGGCACTACTGTTGGATTTCAGACACCTTCTCATCTCAGGGCATTACCACAAGGTCCTCAAATCACCCTTCAAAGGTCTCTGACTTCTCATACTCCCTCTCCAAGTCCCCCCAGGGAGGGAGTCTCTACTCCATTGGATGTAGTGGAGGATACTAACAGCAATTCTAGAGACAGAAGAACAGCTCTAGAGAGGTTGTCTCTTCCTTTCAACCCTGAACTACGTAACACTACAGTTGGATCTAGTCTTGATTCAGAGCGTCTGCAAGAGGTAGCGATAGGGCTCATTGATGAAGATCATCGAAATCACTACTTCATCCCTGACGTCATTCAAACAGAGGACACTAGGATCCCTATTTCCCTTCGCCTTGGTCCTGCGGAACCCTCAAACTCTAACCACAAGGGGAAGAAAAAGGCAGGAGGTAGAGTCATTCCCTTGAAGCCTACAACCAAAGAGACAGGCTCTAAAGTTTCAAAAGCTGTAAGTAACAAGAGAGGAAACCACAGTCCCCTACAAGGAGTAAGCTCAAGGAAACTCAATGCAAATAGGATTCAACAGCCTTCTCAGAAACGGTTATGTATGGATAAAGAGGCTTCTCAATCCAATTTACCCGGTAATAAGGATATTCCAAGCTCAAGTATGGCCCCTTCTATCAACATTATACCAG